GAAACTGAGTGAGCCCAGGTTTGTTTACAAGCACCAAATCTGGAACCTGCACATGGCAAACCCAGCTGGCCCCTGTAGTCAGCTGCTTGCAGTTTTCCAGCTGAGGAGCTGTGAATTTCCTTTAAATTGACAAACCCCAAAATTTCACTGCTGGCAGCTGACAAATCCTCCATCAGCTCTGGAATTTCCCCGACGTTTTGCTGGATTTCCACTGACAGGCTCAAGATGGGTACAGTCTGTGGGCTTCTGCAGATGTAAATTGTTTTATACTCCCTGATGTTTGGGATAAAATAATGCACCAGCAAACTCAGACAACATGGAAAACTTGGCACTGCTGCAGCATGGACAGCCTGGAAAGGCCTGACATGGCTGGATAAACAGGCACTGATGGACAAGCCTGGAACTGGCTCCACAATGTTCTACAGACCAACAGCAGACAAAAATTTAGAGATTTTTTAATACGGCAGCTGGAAGGGGAGGAAGCCCAGCCTACCCAAACCCACAGATAATCAGCTACACAAGGAAGCAGGATCCAACTTTTTTGCCTGTTTTTAGGTATTAGATCATGCTGACTTTCCAACAATAAACGCTGCAGGCAGATGACAACCAAAAAGAGGCAGGAGGAGGGCAGTCAGTGCTGTCTACTCCCAACTTTAAGGCTGGACCACTGTGCTGGCCAAGTAATTAACCCAGGGCAGAGCAGTCCATTCAGCAGTAAAATGAGCCTAAATACTGACCTCGAATTGGGCTCTCTGGGAGCTGATAAATACTCCCCAAGATAAGCATCACTGCGAGAGCATTCCTGCCTTGACATACCATTAAAAATAAAACAAAAGCTTTATATCCCACTTGGGGAAAAGTGAAAAAGGAGAAAGGAACTTCGTTTACCTTTGAATGGCTCTTCTCAAGTCACAGTATCCCAAACAATCCCAGCAAACATGCTCTGGGACATGAGCTCAGCGTGCAGGAGAGCTCCCAAGCTCAGCCTGCCTGACATAAGCAACAGGAGAAATCCCAGAGCAGGAGCAGAGTGAAGAAAGCAGGAGTGCCACGTACCTGGTCCAAACCCACATCCTTTGACCCCTGACACAACACAGACCAGGACCTCAGAGCAAATAAAAGTTTCTTATTGCCCAGCAGAGCCCTTTTTTTGCAGCAGCAGCACAGACAGAGCTCTGCTGACACAGAAAAGCTCCGAGCCTCCAGGCACTCAGGTGTATCCTCACTGAGCTCCTGCTCACCTCAGGGTCTAATTCCTTTGCCAAAATATTGCACAAGTGGCACTCTGCGTTTGCAAAACGCTTCCTCAGGTGTCCTGTTTGACCCCAAACAGCAGATGGTTTATTGTCTGTGCAGCAAACAAGGTCATTCTGGGGTTCTAACTGGGCCATGCAGCCAGCAGCTGCATTCACTTTGCAAATGTTTCATGTTTTGCCTAAGATACCTGACTGCTTTCTAATTCTGCCTCCTCTCCTCCTCCTGCTTCAACACCTTCACCTGAAGGTGCCAGAAGCAAACATCACCAACCCACAAACTCTGCAGAGTTTCAGCCTATTGGGTATCCCAGCCCATCAACACGCTCCAGAGAGCTCTAGAGATGACTCCATCCACCCCAGGGCTGCAGCCCTCTCCAGCTTCCTCACCTCAGGTCTTGTGCCAAGGTGTTTAGCATGGATAAAAACCCACTTGTGTGGGTTGAAACTGGCTCTGTTCACCGGGGTGCCTCAAATCTGCAAGTGTGTCTGTTCCCGTGCCTTCTGCAGTTTGCTGCAGGGTAAGTGCAGAAGCTCAGCCAGGCTCCTGAAGCCCTTCACAGCATGTGACAGCCTCCATTAGGTATGGTTTCAGAGCTCAATCCTAGGCTTGCCTTCATGCTCAACTGAAGACCTTCCAGACCCTACAGTGTTGTGATTTTCACAGCACTCTGCACTGCTGTGTGACACACAGAAAGCCAAAACCAACAGCAGATTGTCAGGTCTGCAGATGAACGACTGCAGCTCCTTCTACTGAATCAGTGTCACGGATCTTCCCCAAAAACCAGCTCTTACCAAGTCTGCAGCTCTAACTGCCATCCCTGTCTTTGCTGAATTTGGGATCAGTCGATGTAGAGGTTGAGGCAGGAGTGTGGGGACTGAAGCACGAGCAGAGGCAGAACAGGTCAGCATTACTGTCCCTGCTCGTGACCGGGATTTTTCCAGCAGAAAGCCAGCTGGGGCTGCAGAGCATGGACCACGTGTATTCCAGAAAGTGAGCACACACACACACACACACACAAAAGAGCAGTGCCCAGTTTGCAGCTGATTTAGCACAGCTCAGGGAAGAATAAAAGAACTGGGCTGCAGAGCCTTGCCAAGTGACATTAGGTGAATCAGTGCCCTGTCACTCGCTCGCAGCCTGGCTGCCTCTCCTCTTGAGCCAGGAGAGAGCAAAGCCCCTCCTGTGCAAAGTGCTGCCAGCAGGATTCATCCCCCTGCCTGTGCCAGACATGTGCCCCGAGCTCAGCACAAACACATCCTGTAGCACACCAAACACAGAGTTGGATGGGCAGTATTGATTGCATTTCCAGCTTCCATAAATTTTTCAAAGCCAGTCCTTTAAGTGCTCAGGTTGTTTTATTTTTTTTTTCTTAATGTCAGTTTTTGCTCCATTTTAATATATCCTCTTTAATTTCCTTTACAGCTAAGTACTGGCCAGAAAAAAATGGCAGAAATTTCCCTTACCCCAGCTGTTGTAGGATCTAGTGTGGATTTCAAACAGAATAGAGCTGCAGCCTGCATTCCAAAAAAACTCCGGTGAACCATGTGAAGAGCATTGTTTGGGAGCAATTGGAGAGATAACTGCTCTCCTGATTTAACTCATTTATTATCCCCAGTGTACAAAACAAGTAGCTGCAGTAACATCATTACAGTGAGAGCACTGAAAAGAACACAAAATAAAAAGCCTAATCTACATTTCTGATATGAGCTGTTCAGCAGCCTCAGCTGTATCACTGTGGGAACCAGTGGCACAATTTTACACAATCTGGCCTCGTGAAAAGTTTTTTTTTGCACAGTGTGCAAAATAAACAGCCTTGCACTGGGCAAGGGTAACCTTGATCAAGCCCAAAAAACTGAGCCATCAGCAGGCTGAGGTGTGTGCAGCCATGCTTCTTTCCACTCCTCTTTTATTCAACTTAATTCCTCCTGATTCTTCATATCTGTACATCACTTCCCTCTCTTTGTAGAGTTCTGCACTTTTTGATAAGATTTCAGAGGAGGATCAAACAGAAAGGCAACATATTTTACTTCTGTAATTAATTATTTGTGTGTTACTACGATTTCATACAGATTTCAGCAGCTGGGGCTCAGTACAGTAAAGCTCAAGGTGGGAAGAAGAATCCGTGTTATTTACAAAACTGCAGAGATGTTCTCCTTTCCCTGCTCACCTGCCCAACAAGCATTTTGCTTTTCTGAGTAAGGCCTCAACACATCAATACATCAGGAAACTTCCCAACCACAGGCTGCTTTTGGGAAGGGCCAGGATAGAGCCTTCCCTCAGCCTGATGTCCAGCAGGCTAAAAAGGCATCCAAAAAGCAAGCTAGAATAAATAATGGATAACCAGAAAACAGAACTCTCATTTAAGATTTCTGAAATAAACAGAAACTTGGGTGTGCACTTGGAAATGGGGAAACAAGTCTGGAGTGGCCTGGGTCTCCCTGCAGAGTGCAACTGGGGAGCAGGAGCTGCCTGACCTGTCCAGGAACTCAGCTCTGGGGGCTGCTCAGCTCTCCTGTGCCACCAGCCTGTCAGGCAGCCTGCCAAGGAGCTGGGCAGGAAGGAAACCAGGGAGGCTTCCAAGAGAAAAAACATCCCGCTGGAAAATTTCTGACTGCTCTAATAATGGCCCTACTTTGAGAGTCAGCCACGGAGCTGGCAGAAGGCAGGGAGACCCACTGCATTCCCTGGTTAGCTCCTGGCTTTCTACAGAAATGCCTTTCTACTCCAGACACACAGCACTAACTGAATGTTGTTGAATTATGTACTGATGTTCATAAATCCCCTGAACCCTCCCCGCAGCACACGGCGTTGCTTTTTCCCAGAACGATGACAATTGTTAATTGGCACCATTCAGGAGGTAACATTTTCTTTGGGAAGGCCTTTCCTGCTTTAGGCAACCACATGTACTTTTGGCAAGGTCTGCAGACAAGCCCTGTTGGCAGCACACAGCCTTGTGCCTCGCTCGGAAAGACTGCATGAAAAACCAGCTCACTTTCCAGCTCCAATTCCAAGGCTTCTCCAACTTGGCAGGGCTGACAACCTAATCTGGCCTGGCTGCAGGAATAACTGATGCCTCCTAGGTAGCATCCCACAAAACTGCCTGTCTCGGGGTGACTTTATGATGCTTGTATCCCCAGTCGTCTGTTCTGTTGGTGTTGAATATTGAGTTCTGCAGCTTTAAAGCTGGTTCCAGGAGCAAAAAGGGAGAGAAGTACAGAGTTTGTTATCAGAGAATGCACTTGCTCCCCTGCATCCTTCACACAGACTGTGCTGTCTGCAGTGGACAGCAGGAGAGAGCTCTCCTTTGTTCTTAATTAGCTTCTGGCTAGCTGAAACAGAGAAGCTCCCTGGACTGTAGCTTTTTTTTCCTTTTTCTTGGAATTGTTTGAACCTGCTCTGGACTGGGGACCCAGAAGAGCACCAGGAGCTCACACCTGTGGCCACAGCATTTTCCAGTGCCAGAAAGACTGATACCAGACTGAATAAGCCAGGCTGCAACCCACAAAAGGAACTCTTCTGAATTTGTCATCTCTTCGGAGCGGCGAGAAGTTTTGCTGCTTAGTATTGTTCATTTTTGTGCTGGGAAGTGCTTTGCCTGTTAAATAAACAGGTTTTTTCCACTTCTCTCCAAGAAAAAAAAGTTAAAAAAGAAACTACTTGAATTTGTTTCCTAAAGGAACCCCATTCAGAAGTTTCACGCCCTGGAAAAAAGCCCTGCAGAAGGAGCCCCACTCCCGGCTCACCGCTCATTGCTCAGCGTCATCCTCGGGGGGTCCAGGTTGGGATTCTCCATGGACTCCATCTGGGGACAGCGTAGGAAGTAGTAGAGGGTGTGGAGGGCATCAGGGGACCAGGAGATGGGCTGCTGCTGCCGGGTTTGCCGCACAGGGCTCATGCCAGGCCGGATGGTGTTCAGGCACTGCATGTGGTGCATGGCTCGTGAGACCAAATCACCTGCGCACACACACAGAGGAAATACAAAATCATCTCTTTATTAGTCACCCACAGTGCTTTTAATCATGCTTTTGGAACAAATTAAAGCTCTCACAGCTCAGAGGAATGTTTGCTGTGTGCACAGAACCTCCCCCGCAAAGGCAGAGGGTGTCCTGTCCCTCAGGCTGCCACCTTCTTTCAAACACCAAGTTATCAGAAAACACAAAGTGAAACATCCCTCAGTTACCACACATTCTTTACAGTGAGTCTGCTGGTTTACTGCTGGTTTGCTCCTCTTTCCACCCACAAATACCAGATTTTTTTTGCCAGCCTACAAAAATTACTGATGACTTTATAAAACATCCTCTGCCCAACCTGGGAGCGACAGTTTCACAAGGCAAAGTCAGTAGCACCAATTCTTCACTCTCATTTTTCTTAGGAGGTTGCTCCCCTTTCTTCCAACTGGGTCATGCTGTCCTACCCTCCTGCCCAGGCACTTGAGAGAAATTAGTGACATTATGTTCAAGACAGAAACCCCTTCTTTGAGGACTCTGCTGCTCCCATTCTCGCTGTAGCTGCAGGTTTCTCCAGAACAGCAAGACCTGATTCTCTTATTAAAAAGCCAATCTCTATCATGCTGGCTGTCTCAAGCTGTGCCAGAGATTTGTCCCTCAATCCAGGAGGTCTCTGGGCTTCTCATTCCCCTTGGTTTCTGAACTCAAGCCAAGCTGCCTCTGTGTCAGAGCACAGTGGACCTGAGGAGGCCTGGATGAAGGTGACCTGAACCAGACAGCTGCACTCAGAATTTTAGGACTGCAGATTTTTAAAAAGTTCCCAGATCAACAACCTCAAGGCTGGTCTTTTTGCAATGAGCTTGCTTTAGGCACAGCTCTGTTTAATCTCCTTGTGTCGTGGTGCATACAAACTCCAAAAACCTTTAAAAGCTTCATCTTTGAGTAGTGTAACTACCAACCAGTGAGCTGAATGTATTACTATACTTAGCTAGGATCTGTTTTTTCCTTGGGAGAATCTCTGCTGCTTTATGCTTTACAGTCCCCTCAAACTCTCACAGGAAACGTTGCTCTATTGTGTCCAAAAGTTACAATACTGGGAAAGGATGGAACCGAAATAGTCGCCCCATCACAAAGCTGGCTCCTGGGAAAGCGCCCTGAGTTTAGCGGTGCCACATTTGCATTAGCAACACCTCCCTCTGAAATTCCTGGGAAGTTATCATTTGTTCATTTATCTCTAAAAGCAATACACTACATTTGCCAGCCTGAACCCCTGGGGTTCTACTGTTACACAGGAGAGAAAGCTCCACAAAGCTACTGTATGTCTAAACATGACATTTTTAGTGGCTCAGACCGACGGGGTATTAAAAATCTCAGCCTGCAGTCTAAAGCCGTGCCACTCCTTTGTTGTACAGCACATTCAGCTTTAAGGACCCACTTCAGAATAATAAAAAAATCCTCCTAACAACTCTGCCTTTCCACTTCAGTAGCTCTAGGATCCGCACGTTTTACGAGAGCATCACGGATCCTCCAGCGCTGGTGCTAACACAGAAGTCTGCACAGTTTATAGCAGAAATGCATCTGGAATTCAAATTTTCAGCTCAGAGCAACGTTCCCTCTCCTTTGCACACTCACTCTATTTTTCTGGCAATGGGCAGCAACGTTTTTTTGTTGTTTTTTTTTTTTTTTTTTAAAAAAGGCAACTGTATCAGGAGAGCCATTCACTGGATGTACTGACCAAGTTGGCCAGGCAGGGATGGGAGAGAGGAAGCTGTATTCAATCTCAGGCCCTTGCTACAAATGTTCTCTTGTGTTCCAGGATAAATAGAGGTGTGTTGAAGGAATTTGAAAACCTCAAACTAAGGCAGGTTGCAAAATAAATGGTGAAACACACGAACTCCTTACTGGCCCTGGCATTCATTAGCATTCAGATGGTGCAGGCTAAGAAAGTGATGCCAGCAGAAACGGTTCAAGGGGAAAAGTAGACCAGGAAAACACAAATCATTTTTGTTTACTTTAAAGGGGCTTTGTGAGTACTCTAGGAATGGAATATTTCATTTGGTCAGCTTAATAAAATAAAAAGGGGGATGAACAAGTTTTTGTTACCAGAGTGCTCTCAGATTTTCTTTTTCCTTCGCTTTTTGTTTTCTAAGTAACCAAAAAGCTTTTCCTAGAATATCCCAGACATTTCCACTGCAGAAACAGCAACAAAGAGACCCCTCTTTGCTGTCTGAGGGAGGTTTGCTGTGCTCCACAAATGCACAGGGGAGCCTCCAGAGGCATCTAGGAAAGAGCATGCAACTTTAGTTGGCAGTAACATCTCCACCAAAAAAAAAAAAAGAAAAAAAAAGGCACCTCTTATACCTCTCCAGGTGAATTAGACATAAAGCAGGTTAATTAAACCAGCTGATTTTCATAAACAGCACCAGCAGACAATTCAATCTCACCCAACACGGAACGCTGCTCACGCTGCCGGCAGCAGCAGCACTCCTCCTGCAGGAGCAGGGATGGGCTCTCTTGCTCTGCTGCAGGAAGCCCAGGGTGGGTTTATGACATCCCCAACTCACTCAGCTCCGAGATGCTCCCGACGCAGGTGGCCAGCAGGGATTGCTCCAGGGTCCGCAGCTCCAGCTGCGCGTAGGCGTCAGCCCGTCCATCGCTGCACACCGAGCCGTCGTGGTAGGGGCTGAAGTAGGCAGGGAGGGACAGCACACCTGGGGCAGAGCACACAGCACACCTCTTACAAAGCAGCCTGCACGTGGGGAAAAGCAGATCCCCTCCAGGAGGGATTCAGAACTCGCGCCTTTCTGCCGGAGTTTTGGAACAGTTCAAAGGAAATCAGACAGCGCTGCGAACACCGCTGGAGTGGCTGAAACAGGCTCCAGGGAGTAAGGCTGCATGTTCCTACGGCCTTTAAGAGCCGGGAACAAATTGCAGCCGAGATAAAACTACATGAAAAGCTTTGGTTAAGTCTCTACTCTTGTTTACACAACAACTGGGCCACGCACACACAGCTCGCTGCTGAACAGCTGCATGCAGATCCCCAGATAGAAGGGCCTGATGTGGAGAGATGTGGAATATAGCCTGGAGTCCACCTCATCCCTGCAGCCCTGCAAACAAAACCAGGGGCTGTGCCAGCCCTTTGAAGCTGCCATGCAGTTTCAGGTGCTCAGACTGTGGTTTCTGCTTGTGCACACCTCTGGATGCACCAAGTCAGGCCCAGGAGCTCTGAGGTTGCCTGATTTTCATCTCTGTAAATGACCCCTGGGTGAGACAGAGAGATTAGGGAGGTAATTACAGTGCACACACGTGTTTGCCACACACATCTCCTCTCCATCAGGACAAATGCACAGAACTGATTGCTCCCTGTGGCACAGGGAAAAGGGGGAAGGTGACCTCAGGAGAGGAGTGAGGCAGGGAGCAGGGTGTGTGACACAGGCTGGGCTGGGACAGTGACCTGCCCTGACCACTGGCACCCGGGGGGAGAGCTGGTGCCACTGCATCCACAGGACAGGTGGACTCCAAAAAGCCACCTGCAGTCACCTGTGCCCTCACTGCTGCCCCATTTTTAATTACAGATCCATCCCACAACTCCAGCAGCACCTCCTGGCCCAAATTTTCCCTGATTCCAGACAAGAACACTCAGAGCAGCCACGAGTGCCTGTGCTCTTAGCCTGCTGCATCCTGTATTTCTGATTTTAAACTTTGATCCACAGCAATACAGTTCAGCTCAGACCCACGTTTCCTTCCACCCTCACCTCCTGACCCAGGCTGGGCTGGGATGTGGAGATCCTTTACTCCTGTGGCAGTGACCTCCTGTCACAAAGGTGCTGTGTATTGTTGCCCAACAAAACCCCGCAGCTCATTGTGCAAGACCTTTTGTTTCTTTGTCTTGATGTTTTCTTTTGAGATTTTATGCTGGATTGATCTCTCTTACCCTTTTCACATCCTCTTTGCATCCTGCTTTGTGGCAAAGCCAAGGGCTGCATCAAAAACTTCCTGGACATGATGGGAATAAGGGAATGATTTATCCTGTTGTGTTTCTTCACTGTACATCACTGTTAGTTAATGGAGAATGCTCTGCCAATGCCCTCTTAACCTGAATAATTAGGAAGTTGAGGCTTTAAGAGCTACCAGAAGCCATGCATGCAAACTAGGAGAGCTTTGCTTTAAATACACTATACAGAGCCTAAGCCACTTCCTTTTCCATGCCAAAGCTATGAAAGGATGTTTTAGAGACATATGGATTGAATTTATGGCAGAGGGAGAATGAAAACAGCCTGATTTGTCAAAACTTTCAAATAGAGGCACATAATTCTACAGAGGCGAAAACAGAAACTGGCAGCTCCACTGCTGAGCCCGGAGAGGGAAAGAAATGGGGCACATTTCCTGTGCCAGCCACTTTCAGTTGGTTCTGTTTTCTAACAAGGAATTAAAAATAAAGATTTGCAGAACGCTTTGGCTCGCAAAAGGCAACAACATTTTCTCAGTTTTCCAATTCACAGTTTGTCACGTGGCGCGAGGAAACAGGGAGGATTTATTTACCTTTGGAAAAATGACTCATCCAAGATAGCTGTGGACAAGATTTATGTCACCTGCCTTGGCACAGCTCCTTTACACACCAGAGAGAAATAAGGAATTCACCAAGACTTCACCAAAGGAATTCACCAAAGGCCAGTGATGCCACTGGGGATTTTTCCTGGGATCAGAGGGGGGGATGAATGACATAAGGACTCAAACCCTCCCCACGTCTGGCAGGTCTCTATAGGTACAAGCAAGCCTGGGAATGAGGACACACGTCCCAACACTGATTTTGAGACAGTGGGAAGCAAAACAGAAATACACCTATTTTAATGGGGCAACTATTCTATCCTGCAGCACCCCAATCAGGATTTCCTCCCTGATCCGCTTCCAGTAACTCCAAAGAGTTGGAAAAGCATTAGATCAGAAATTCAGGCACAAGGACATCTGCAGTCAAGCTTTGCCCAGTGATGTTGTAAGTAGGAACAGCACTTAATCTTTAATATCAATTTAAAAAACCCTTTTTTTGATAACAGGCAACTGCCTTGTGCTGATTATTTGTATCCCATACTATGGTTCTTGCTCTCCTGCTTCCCAAATAATGGAATTTTCAGTAAAAAGGTGTTACAATGGTATAAACCAAGGGGCAGTTTCTGTCTGGCATTCACATTCCTGCATTTCTGTATTAGTAGCAACACTGGTTTTAATCATGACTAGCAAGATAAGCAAAACTGCAATTGAAATAAATAAATCCACGTTAAAACACTCTGTTTGATATTTACCTTTATTTCCTGACTTTCCAAAGTGTGTTTTTCCCACAAAACAATGTGAAAAAGCACATAATTACTGTGCAGGAATGAACCACTTGGGCAGGTTTTTTTTCTATTAAGATTTTAAGTACAGGATCAAGGCCCTGATGGAGCTCAGGAGAGACTGTGAATTCAAGTGTGGCTTAGCTCAAACCTCAGGAGCATCAGGAGCTCAGAAGTCACCTCTGGAATGGCATGATTCTCAGTTAAAGCATGGCTGGCTAACAATTCGTTCCTGATCTTTCCATAGCCTTTGAAACAGCAGCTGGAAATAAAGCCATATTTATTCTGCCTCAGTTAAATATGAAACCTGTTCACGAGCACTTGCTGCCAATGCTCTTAAAAGGCAGTCACGACTGGGTGAGTTCCAGTTAAGCAGTTCCTTAAACTCAAATTATTCTGCTTGCCTAAAGAGTTTGAAATTGTTGTCCGTAATCTGATGCTTTTTAATAGCAACTGAAAATGTTTCCAGTCTGAGCAAGATCCAGGGAAAAGTCTGTTCACACTCCTGGACATCTTTGTGCTTTAAGAGGTGCAGCAGCTCTGCAGAGAGCTTTGGCTGGACCGTGATGGCTCCCACGAGCAGGGCTGGGCAAAGCCCTTGTGTGGCTTCCAGCACGTGCTGGGACACCTCTGCTCTGGAGACAGGCTGGGAGAGCTGGGAATGCTCAGCCTGGAGGAGAGAAGCGTCCAGGGAGAACCTAGAGCTGGAGAGGGGCTTTGGACAAGGGCATGGTGGGGAATGGCCTTAAACTGGAGGAGTGGGTTTAGATGGGATATTGGGAAGGAATTTTTTACTACAAGGGTGGAAGGTGCTGGCACAGTTTCCCAGAGAAGTGTGGCTGCCCCATCCCTGGGAGTGTTCAAGGCCAGGTTGGACAGGATTTGGTGCAACCTGGGCTAGGGCAGAGGTCCCTGCCCATGGCAGGGGGGTTGGAACTAAATTATCTTTACAAGTCCCTTCCAAGCCAAATCACTGCCTGCTTCTATGATTCCCCAAGCAGGACAATTCCTGTAAGGAATCCCAGGTCCATCCCTGATTGTCGTCATAATTCAGAGGCTGGCATCAAGTTCTGCTCTTTTGATCTCAAGATACAGGCAAATGCAGACGTTTCCCTGAATTTTGCTCTGAGATTGGAATGTTTGACTTTGCAGCTACTCATGGCCCCTTTACACCTCACACCATTTGCAAGCCATGGTCATGCAAAGGGACTTGCCATCATTTTTACCTTGTTGTAATAGTTTTCCCTGGGCTTTCTCCAGACTGGACCCTTGATGTTGGCAGACAACTTCCTAGAGATTTAACTCATCAGCCATTTGATGGCTTTCAAACATTTATATGATGTCTACAGGTTAAGATGGGGCCACTCACAAGTGGCAAAGGGCCAAGGAGTCTTGGCTGGAAAGCACTTGAATTCTGCTGTCTGGGACTCCTCATGGAAATTGCCCAGGGTACTGATTCCCTTATTTCAGAAATGCACTGGCTCTGCTCATGACAGATTAGGCAAAGATTCAGGAATATAATTAGGACAGGGATATACACCATAAACTACTGACACAGAAAAACTGCTTTTTAAAAAAATAAACCTAGCAAAGTGTATGGGACAATACAATATACTATTTATACCTAAACACTTCCATAAAACAAATCAGAACAGTAGGAACAAAAGCACCTATTTGGCCAAACCAACCAGAAAGCCCTTGGAAAATTGAAAATCATCTCTATACGTTATAAATTGCTGCTAAAAGCCCCATGTGTGAAACCAGGAGTGCTGTGAGTGAAAAATGCATTAGGAAACCAAGCAGGAATCCCTACACCAGTGTGCTTTTGCAATGTTTGGCTTGGGATAAATTCCACAAGAAACATTCTGGGGGGTGGGAATGACGGCTGATCCCTCTGAGCTGAAATTCTGGAAGGCCAAGGTTTTGAAGGCAGATGGTGATGACCTGACCATGCTGGAGCTGCCAAATCCCAGCAATTCCAATGGAGCTGAGAGGAAAACCTCAGCTGCAAGTGCAGTTCCCACGCTGGAACGTGGCCATGACATGGGGACGGCTGTCACCTTGCACAAAGTCCTGCAATTCTTCATGGCCAGGAGCATTCAAGGCTCTCCTTGTTTCCCATTCCCCCTTCTCCCACACAACACAATGCCCTGCAGTTCCCTCTTGCCAATCAGTTCAGAGAGTGGAGCACCAGCAGGAATTAATGCCAATTCCTGGAGCTCTGCTTTCTCCTTGCTGACCTACCGCTGGCTAAGAAAGCTCAACCCCTCTCTGTTTTATGAAATGAGATGGGATCATTTTGACAGAACATAAACAAACCCCTCTGAAAAACAGCAACCAAAGTGTTCCTGATGGAGCTCCCTCAAAACTTAAACACATCA